AACTCATGTAATGTTATGGTACTGTTCATAATAAAAAATACGTGGGAAAAAAAGCAGACAAGAAGAAGACAAAAATTGGAAAAAAAAAACTATGCAAAAACATTAACAAAATGTTATCTATGAGCAATGTGATTGTCAGTAATTTTGTTCTTTATACTTGTATTAAGTTTTCAAAATTTATACAATGAATGTCTTATATTTGAAAATAGAAAAAATACTTTTAAAGACCCTAGAGGCTTGACTTTTACATAAGCCATAAATTCAACCTGCATTATTTTGTTTTTGTGGTAACCGTTTGCGATAGTAAGTGCTAATAGGCTTGGCTTTTTGGTGCTAGAGAAATTGGTCCTTTTCTTGTGTGTTAGATAGAAAGCCCTTGTAATCTCAAGGAGATAAAGATCTAATGTTGTCTAGTGATATATATTTGCTTAGGGGTTTGTTTTTATTTAAAACCTAACTTCAATTGTTTTAATGATTTTCAGAAAAGATGTGTGTTTTTTTTTTTTTTTTAATAGCTTTTTTTTTTTTTAATTTTTTTTTTTTTTTTTTTTTTTTTTTTTTTTTTTTTTTTTTTTTTTAAGAATTAGCTATAGCCCTTCCCAAGTTGTGTTCACAGCTTAAAGCCTACCTGAACTTTTTCCAAGATCATAAAGATCCAAGCAAAAAGGAATGATAACAGTATTATTCTGTTTAAGGCTGAGTGTGGCGGATTACACCTGTAATCCCAGCACTTTGAGAGGCCGAGGTGGGTGGATCATCTGAGATCAGGAGTTGGAGACCAGCCGGGCCAACATGGTAAAACCCCATCTCTACTAAAATACAAAAATTAGCTGGGTGTGGTGGCACATGTGATCCCAGCTACTCAGGAGGCTGAGACATGAGAATCACTTGAACCTCAGAGGCGGAGGCTGCAGTGAGCCAAGATCGTACCACTGCACTCCAGCCTGGGTGACAGAGTGAGACTGTGTCTTAAAAAAAAAAAAAAAAAATTGTTTATAGGACTTTAAAGTTTTTTAAAATGGCTTCATACATATTTGATACCAGGCTCATTTGACTTTTAAGAAGAAAAACAAGATGTAATTATAAGAGATTTTTTTCAGCTCTATTTTGTGGAGAAGACATTGAGGCTCACAGAGGTAAAGTCTCTTGCTCAGTGTCACCACAGAGTTATCAAATGGTAAAGCCAGAATTGAAGTCAAGGTCTTTCAAGTAGCATAATTTTTCCCACAGATGATGAATTAAAAACCATTAGGGCTGTGCCTGGCCGGCAGGATTGGATCTCCTTGCTATGCTGACAGCTGGATCTGTTCATTTCCTCACCACCTTTGCCCAGCCCCATGACCTGGCCAAGCCCCAGACTATCACTGTGGTATAGCAGCTCCAGCACCCAGTGAAACCCAAAATACAACAAAGGATAACAGAAGGTAGCTAACAACTCTAATTTCCTTAAAGTGCATTTGGTGTTTTAAACTTTGTACCATGATTTGTACACAAGTCCTTCCTCAAAACAATATAAGAGTAAAGGTCTGAGATAAATAATGAAAATAACAGAAAATTTTATGAATTTGATGTCTTAGTTCACATCCAACAGTATAGTAATTTTTTCTGTGTGAAAATCTTATACTTATAAATGGTTAAATTACAGGAGCACAATTCCTGTAGAGGCAGAACTTGAAGAATCAGCTTCAGTTCCACATGGTTACAGCCTCAAAATTAGTTTTCCCTTCATACTTCTTTGATGTTACCCCGTTTGGCAGTTATGCCACTTGCTGCAGGAATTTCTCATTGTTCTGTGATCAGCGGTATTCATTTGTTTTAACTTATGCTCTACAGTTCGTCATGCAAATATGATTTTTACTTTGAATATAATTTTGGTTGGATACAATCTCACACTGTTCTTCAC